CTTTTCAACAGTCGAAGTTCTGCTGAGAGAAGATGGCCAGCAGATAAGACAGCAGTACATCAACGAGCTCCACAAGCTTCAGGAGGAAGAGGAGGGTTTGCACCTTGGAAGACTGTATTCATGCTGTTCAAATAAAACTAGATCTCCTCCAAACAACTTGCAATCAAACTATTTTCTTCCTATTTTAAAACCCTTTGTCCAGTTTAGATGGGAGAAGTTGATATTATGTGATATTGATCTGGGAAGACTACATTTCTAAATCATTTTTAACTGTGTTTTTATTCACCAGTTATTGATCTTATTTACTCTCCACGTATCTTGATTTAAGAATGGGGCTGTGTTTAAGGGCAAATTTTTGCAATGACTCTGTTCCATCCCACTTTCAGAAATGAACTACATTAGTATTTATCAAAAGAGTAAGAAGTTGTGTAAAAGTAGACTTCCTTCCCTAAGCTATTGAGTTGAGCATTAATCTGAAATGTATACTCATAAGTAGACATAAAAGAGTGCATTTATATAGAAATATTTATTTAATCTGATAAACAACATTAAAAAAAGTCTGTTTTTACAGCAGAGATGAACATGTTTACAGCTTGGTACAAAACAAACAAATAGGTGTGATTAGCTCATGTCTCGATGGACACACACTGTACAGGGGGGGAATGTTTTGATGAAGGATAAGAGTTATTCACAATAAGGCGTGTAGCTGACCAGCTTGACAGGTGGGCGCGGTGTAATGGTTTGTCAAGAGGCTTAAAACCCGTCTCAGCTCCAGCTCTCAGCCTGTGGGTGACATCACTCAGGCCATCCGGGGGAGACCTCCCTCACAGCGAGCTGTTGAAGAGAAGCAACTGAAGTCCACCCCAGAAGAACCAACAAATGCAGATGTTGTTGAGGCTCAGGCTTCTTCCTCTGTCTCTGCAGCTCTCTGGGCACCTCGATGGACCAGTCACCAATAATCCACACTGTGTCTATAGGAGAAATACAAAGATGTTCAATTAATGCCTCAGACAACACAAAATGTACAGTTAACTACATGTGACAGCTCAGGCTGTTTTTTTGTTATGAGCCACATCTGCAGGAATAATATTGAACAAGGTAGCTGCAACTCATAATAATAGATGCCAGTCTTAAATACTATTTTTTCTAATACTTAAAGTTTTTGGTGTGAAGCTGACACTGTCCACAGACTCCATGACTTCACAGGGTTCAATAGAAAACAAATGTCTTATAATAAATACTAAATCATTATTTTTCAATTGTCATGTTCACCTCATCGCTGTTGACATCAGTAAATATAAAACACAGACATTCCTCTTTTTGTCACAACAGTAACATGAACTGTATGCTTTGTAATATTGATTTCTTCTGGATGTCTCATATTTATTTACAGTTTATGGATAAAACTTTGTTAATGTATTTCTCTGCTAACACTGACAAAGTCTAACTTCTCTAACAAATAACTCATAAACATAATTGTATATTTAAAAAAGTGTAGTTTTAAGACTTTAATTAAATATTTGTGTTGAATATAATTCGTTTTAACTGTGTTGTAGAAAAGTTAAATGTTAACTTACTGTTTGTAGAGTTTTCTCAGCCTAGCTGTTAGCTATGCTGTCAAGTGGACTGCTAACGTCGAGCTGAATGGGCGGAGCTAAGTCCCGCCGGTCCCGCCTTACTGCTGTTGCTAGGTTGATCTGAAGATAGGTTGAGACTGCAAATCCAATATGGATGCGGCCGTCGATTGGACTCATTTTCTGCCTATGTCACAGACGGGTCAGGGTTCGTCCAGTAATATTTACAGTCTATGGTTCACACTTGCATTTGCCGTAAGGATTTTTCAGGACTTTTGTGCAAAACACCACATGAAACTGCACGAAGAGGGGCATCAGTAAATAATTGTGCTATGGAGAAAAGATGTTTTTTAAATGAAAAATAAACTGTGTTTACATTAACAATAATATAAAAATACCACACGTCTGCTTCCTTCTTATGACATCCTTTATTCTTAAGCAAGTTGGCAGAAAGAGCATTTCTGGACCGACCAGATTTGTTCCTAAAACAGCTCCTAAATGACGCCTCATGTTTGTGGGTAACTTGCTGTTGTCTGCAGTTTCAAGTTAACCTAAGGTAGTCTAAAAAAGTGTGGTTAATTAAAATGTTCCCCTTGAACAGTGAGCAACAAAGAGCCCTGCCCTGAGCATTCATCCTTAAGTTAACTTAAGGACACACTTGTCTGTTAAACCCTTAAGTGCTGTAAAATCCTTCAAGGCAGCAGTTAATGTTCTACATATTCTATTATCAGATTGTGTGCTGATCTTTCAAAGGCAGTGTACTAATGCTTCCTTTTACACCGTTTTATATTCTCAGCAGTGTTTTCAGAAGGTAAAATATTCAGTTTATCTGGGTCAACGTGTTGAAATCAGCCACCTATAGCGTGTTAAAGAGCCCATATTATGCCCTTTTTGGAGTTCGTATATTTAATCTATGTTCCTACTTTTGTACGTTCACAATAAAGTCCGAAAAAAGTGTCTGTTTTCATGTACTGCTCCTCCTTGCTCCCTCTACTCTCTGAGTCCGCCAGCTACGCTCTGTTGAGCCCACACTGTTAGACCCCACGTGGGCCAAGTCTGCTCTGATTGGTCTGCCGATCTGCTCTGTCGTTATTGGTCAGTTGCTCAGCATGCGTCTCGGAAATTTCAACATGAGCTGCAGGGCTTGCCACAACGAGCCAATGGGCTTAGATCAGTGATCTCACACCGACAATGACGCCGCACTGACACATTTTTATCGAGGGGGGCTAGAACCAAGCGTTACATGCAGCTAATGTTACAGCTAACAGGAGGACGTAGGAGAAGCCGCGTTTCGGCAGACTTTGAATTTTTGTGCATAGATGTGACTAAACATGCACAGGACACTTGGAAAACACACTAAAAGAGAATATAAAATCAGAAAAAAAGCAGAATATGGGACCTTTAATGTTATACTCACTCAATCCACAGCCTTAAGAAAAGTCAGGCAACAAGATAGGCGTGATTTTAAGGGTGATTTTAGTCAATGGTTCAACCCTGTTAAAACAGATGACTTTCACCCCCTCTCACAGTGTGCGCCAAAAAAGATATTAACTACAGTAATCGGACTAAAATCTTTTTTTTGTACCAGGCTCTAAGGATGTTTTTTTTTCTTCCATTTACTTCGCTGTTGTGAATGAGGGATCAGTGTTGTGGCACGTCCTCTTGATTTGCTGATCTTTTGTTCTAGATCTTCTGCTCATACATACATATCATTTTAATATGTTGGATGTCCATACTAAACCTCTGCAAAGTTTTTTTAAACATAAGAGACACAGTTGTTGCCGTAATCCGTGGACGTGGTTTCCTGCTACTCCGAACGAGATGTTACGAGAACTTTGCAAGACTTGGCCAGAACCTGACATCAGGTTCTGGCCAAGTCTAAGAGAAACCATGCAGCAAAGTAGAATGTACTTGCCCTGCCTGGCAGCTCTTTTAAGGACACGCCCACCAATTTTACTGCGACTGCAAACAAAACTGTCAATTGGAGGAAATGTCTGAGGCACGTGCGGGCATGTGAATACCTCTGAATCTAGCCTTCGGGGAGCCTTAAAGAAACAGCCGCTGATATGAACCGTTTAAGGCAGAGGCTGAAATTATTTTTACTAACATCAGTATTTGAGAAATAAGGAGGTTTTTCAAGCTACACATCTCGCATCACTACTCAATAAGTGTCCCAGTCTGACATAATTCATGGTAAGACTGAGCATAATAGATCTCCTTTAATGGCAATTTCATTTCTGTGTTGGCATCAAGCACCTGAAACCGCTGATCGATTTTTTTTACCCCCCTACAGGTGGAAACATTGCAGCTATGGTAACTAACACTCATTGCTACAACATTACAAGTAAACATGGACTATTTTACTTACTTGCTTGTAAAATTTCAGATGTGGTTCATTTCGTGTTTCCCACAGTTCAGTGCAAAGTATCCTGACATGGTGGATGCTATTGTACTGCTGGATGCTTCTGGATTTCTACCAAAAGATGCTGAACTTCCACAGTTTTTATTTTCACTATACTTTACAAGGAAATTAAAACAAAAGGCCATGAAATGAAACAAAACAATCAGTGCAATTAATCATCAACTTTCATTTCAAGTTTCATCCCTGTCAGTAGTGTTGGAATCTCACACCACTGTGTTTCTGTCTCTCTTTTCATGCAGGAAGAAATCTCCAAGGTGACGAGGGAAGGAGTATACAAGATGCTTGAGTATGACAGAATTGACAGAACAGGAAATAAGAGTTTACACTTACGAAGAGGCAATGGACAGGTAAAAGTTCAATTAAATCATCTTGAGTGTGTGAGGGAGGTTTTTGCTGAAGTGTATCATAACGGCAACTTCACCAATGTTACTATCGTGCGTCTTGGCGTGCACTACTGCTTATGTAGAAATAAAAAGTAAGGTGAATACTTTTCTTTGCATCTGATATTCCGTCATGTCCATATGAGCTGGAAACTAAATATGAAAATTACAAAGTGTGAAGAGTGAATAAAGTCGTCTTATCCGACCTCTTCATTGAGCTCCTTATCTCAGCTGTTAAAAAACACTCAACTCTTGCACTGTGGGTAATGTAGGCACATTTGTCCTTGTTCTTTTGCATTGTTGTTTTAACTGTCTTACGTGTGTTGGAATAAAATAAAAATATAAATGTGAGAAATATTGAACATAATACAATTAATCACACACACAAAAACAGAGTTTGGGGCTGCAGTAGTTCAGTCTGCAGGGACTTTGGATTGGAACTGGAGGGTCGCCTGACGTTGGTCTGGTAGCTGGAGAGGTGCCAGGTCACTTCCTGAGCACTGCCAAGGTACCCTTGAGCAAGGCGCCGAACCGCCAACTGCTCGGGCGCTCCTTCATATGCAGCACCTCACTCTGACATCTCTCCATTAGTGCCTGTCCACAGGATTTTTGTGCATGTGTGTATTTTTCAGCCTATGCATGTTTCAATAAGAGTAATCTCCCCTCATGGGATTAATAAAGTTTGTCAAATTTAAAAGAAGAAGTTTCTAGTAGTTGTCTTTTGTCAGCTTAAGTGTTTTTTCTTTTCTCTTACAGACTGTTTGCCTCAAACCAAACTCTGTCTGAACAGTCTGTCCACATCCTTTTAGAGAGAGGTCTGACTGCAGTCCAAGGAGGTTTGTCTTTATCTCCTCTTCTCCTCTCTGAGGGGGAAAATCTCACTTTGCTTTCTCTCATCTGCTGCAAGCTGAATGTGTTTTTCTTCTGCAGGGTTCCTGTTCTCCAGAGACGTGCGGCACGGCTATGTAAGTCCCCTTTGACATCCTAAATCTTCAAATTTCCCTCCACATTCATCCAACCCTCTCTATAAGTTCTGTACTGTACATATGTGTTTTATTTTATGTTTAAGACAAACGTAGTGCATCCCACTTTGGAGCAGAGTTTGCAGATGCAGTCGCGGATAAAGGCCTCGGTTCTCGTAGTTTTGTAAGTTATTAATCACTGCTTTGAGATGGTTGTATTGCAATGTTTTAACGTATCAAAACATTTGATACTGAACCCTGTCAAAATCTCTATTTTTTCTAGAGCAGATAAAGGTTTGCCCACTTTTCATGATTCAAAGCAGCAGGAAAAAATCTCCATCCTTCTCCAGAGATATCGTGACAGAAATGTGAGTTTGAAACTTTTGTGTGATTGGAAAAAGTTTAATTTGATCGTCAATCTTTTTATATATTCATTGGGGTAATTACAAATCATACAGTAAAATAAGTTGATGAGCTGAATTTAAGTTCAAAACAAAATACCCTAAGTGGACAATAGAGTGGATTGTATGTTACTGTTTTGTACTGTGTATGGTGTCGTATTGTTTCTTATTCTGTTTTACTTAACCGTCAAATACATTCTCATATAATACTGTATTGAATCATATCGTACTCGATGGAATGAAATTGTGACGAATTGTCATTGTAAGCAACAATGTAAAGAAGGCAAAACATGAGAGAAAAGAAGTTCTAAATCAGCTCCTGCCATTTGTTTTGAATTAATAAATAATGCATGGAAACTAAAAAGTTTCCATGCAAAACTTCTGCAAGCTTTTACTGAAAATCTTTTTTTTTTTAATCTCTGTCTCAGCACTCAGTGGTAACAGTTCCAGGAGATCATCACGTCCATCTGAATAATCCTGAAGTTGTCGCACCGCTTATTTCCGACTTTCTGCAGACTGAAGTGATCCCTCAGCATCTGTCAGAAGTGTGACACACACACACACACACACACACACACACACACTAACACACACATACACACACAGGCACACACACTAACTCACACACACACTAAATAACACTCTTTAAGTCTTGTCAAATTGTCCTCCTCCCTCTCAGTGCATTTATGCAAACTGATGAATTACTTTTTGAAGAAATCTGAGAATTCTCTTCAGTGCCTTTGAGTAGTCACACCTTAATGTTCAAACAGCAACACTATTCATTTTATGTGTGTGTTTTCTTCATTCAGCCATGGTTTCAGAAGTCCTCATTGCTACTATCAGAGTGTTTTTGTATTCGAGGCTGATCTGTTTGACTCGGCTGCTTTTTATGAATCTGATTCTAAAATTGTCAATCGTTAAAAAAAGATCACCCTCTGACAACTTCTCAGTATGTTGGACCGTCCTCTTTGTGTTCACCCTGTTTTCTTACTCTAAGAACCAGGACGATTAAAAGTATTCTTTTTTTTACCACCCTTTAACTGATGGGACTGACTCCATAAAGACTGAAGCCGCCACAACTCACAGCAGATATGAGAGGTGCCACTCACACAAAAATACCCTCTCGTTCTCTCCCATTCTCTCTCTCAATGTCACATAAACGGTGTGACGGCCTCGGTGTTAAATGGAGTGGAATTGATTTTACGCAGCGAGCAGAAAGGCGGCAAGCATCCAGAGACATCTGAAGGGCTTGCCCCCCCTCCTACTCCTCCAAAAAAGAAAAAAGATTATAGTTATATAAGTTTCCCTCCCTCCCACTCCCTCCATCCTCTCAGCCAGCAGCAGGGATGTTGCCATAGTAACCCCCCACCCCTCGGTTTTTTAAACGTCAGAGCGAGGAGCTGGAGGATGAAGCCGCATGCAGCTTCTGTCTCTCGTGCCTCTCAGAGAGCACCTGTGATTTTGGACGTCTCGCGTTCAACAGTCGGAGCCACGGCGCTGTGGGAAATCTGATGATTGATTCGAGTCTCGGGCTGCTGCACATCACGTACCATCAAACACAGAAAGACTTACTGATTCTGCAGCACTGAAAGGTAAGCATGACACATTTGTTTTCTGCTTGGGTCCAATTTTAGGGTGCAACACCTGTAAGGGTTTGCAGATTTCTGATGATGTATGTGAAAGAAGCAGCCGCTGAAAACATGCCTGCTGCATGTGTAATGTGTAATGTCAGGATTTTCTGAGCCTCGTTTGTGTATTTGTGCGAGCAGAAAGAATCAGCAGAAATATTGGAACATCGTGGTGCTGCAGTTTGTCATTGCATGATATTTTTTACGCTGATGGGAGGGAGTTTTTGCAAGGGTTTAAATGACAGAGTATCTCTGCTCATCCACCTTTTCTAAAAAAATCTCTCCTCTCTCATCCATTTTGTCCTTCCCTCTCTTCTGCCCTTCCACATCCCTTCCCCTCTGACAGCAGCGATGTCGTGGCTGTTCCTGGACTGGTTCGTCCCCCTCTACCTGCTGGTGTCGGTGTTGGTTCTGGCTGGATTCGGAGCGTGTCTGTACTTCTTGGAGCCTGGGCTGCAGGAAGCCCACAAGTGGAGCAACAAAACAGTCCGGCATCACCCGCTGGTGGCCAGCGTGAACTGCAGAGATGACGATAGCAACGCTCTGATATGATCAAGAAGGGCGAGGTGGAGCGGGGCGCGCCATCTGGGCAGGGGTGCTGCCAGGACACCAGAGGGGAGAGGACGGGAGCCAACACCTTCAAGATGGAGACAGGAAATGGCAGAGGAAGATGGAGGGGAGAGAAATCTGATAAATGGAGCCCATCAGTCTCATCATAACTTTTCTCTGATCTCTATCACACTTTCCGCTGTAGGGATCAGGGGAAAGTGGTGTAGAAGAATGTCTACAAAGAAGCCAAACGCACAGGGAGGAGAAGAGTACTCACACAGATGATGGAGGACATGTTGCCCTTTAGAAAGCGTCTAAAACATGATGTAAATTTCACCACCATCTTATACTCGTGCCAACTTTTACATACGTTTTTGTAAATCGACAATCACTTTCCATGTATCATGCAGTTTACTCATAGTGTGCGTTTCTTTAGTGCAGTGGGTGACATCAGTGCAATGTGTTTGCTGTCATCAGGAAGTGTTTTTTTAATCCTCCTTCTGTCGGCTCGGCAGCTGCAGAGAAGCATGTGGACTGTTTGTGCCAATGTGCCAAAAAAAAAGGGTTTAGTAATGACTTTATAAAAAAAAAACATGTACTGAATAAATTCAAGTGATTCATTCAAGGTGCCAAGGTAAACTAGATGGACCTAGAAAACAGAAAAGTATTTGGAAAACGCTTACAGTGTATATATTTTGAGTTTTCATCGTTTTTACTTGACAGCATGGGGAAGAAACTGGGTGCGTGACGACCCTCTTTTGATGATCATATGCTTCCTTAGTTCATACAAATAAAAATGTTTACCCGTCAAGTCTTTGGATTTTCTCTCTCTGCTATAGGACTTCATTAGTATCTAATTCAAATAATGTGTAGTTTATCAAATGTAACAAAGCACATAACTCGTTTGCTCTGCACAAGTAGGCCTGCAACGTTAAGGGACTTGGACTTTACAAGTGGATTTCTATTATTATCTTGTCTTCTCTATTTTCAGAGATCAGTGTACTAATTTCTGCAGCTCAGTCTTCTGCAAGCAGAAACCCTTAAAATGTGCTTCATATTTGAGAGATTTTATTTTTGCTCTTGTGACCCCTTTTGAGGTGACCTGACCCACAGGTTAGCAAACACCAGACTAAAATACACCTGCATAGACAATAGTTTAAAGTAGCTCCACCTACATCAATACAGTAAAATACTGCTTACAAAATGTATTAATCATTGAATCATATGTAAACAATAAAACAACACACACACACACACACACACACACTGATAACACACCTGTTGTTAACTTTTGCTTTAAGTTCATATATATACGACTTCTTCTTCTGCTGTTATCAGAGGGTCTAATAAGAGCACATTGAGACTTTTCAGACAGAGTCCCCGTGAGTCAAACAACATGAGAGAGCAGAGTGGGAGTGAAACAGAGCAGCCTCAGTGTGGAGGAATGGAGAGAATGACTTCTTTTCCCACCACTTCCTACTGCTGTGCTCCCCCCGTCTGCACTCTCTGTCTTATTTACTCTCTCACTGTGTGAACAACAGAGACAGGGCTCCAAACAGCAGGTCAGTGTCTGATTGAATCCTCTCTACAACGTGTGACATGTGTTTTAATTGTTGGGGTTAAATTATGGAATGATGCTCATACACATTTACAAACCTGTAATTCACTTCTGGTTTAAAAGAAAGTGTCATGCAGCTGTTTTTGAGGCTTACGATTGTGAGTGATTGATCTGTTGTTGTTTTTCTTTATTCTTCTGGAAGCTTAATTTGATAAGAACGTAGGAGAGACTTTTATAAGCAGTTTGTTTCAGTCTGTTCAGTCACTACTTAGTACTGTATTTTTTTACTTTGTTTTAACCGTCTATATTGTTTAAAATAATTGCATTGTGTATGTTGGCTGAATGAAAAAATACTAATACTCATACTTTAACTCCAAATCATCTTTCATTGTAAGGATTTGTCTTGATGTGTAATTTGAAGTTTGAAAACAGCGCAGTCATATTTAAGAACAATTTATCTTGAATATTCTCTTTTTATGCTTCTTGTCTTTTTTTTATATTCAACACTTTTTTCGTGGTTTTCAAACGGGGATTAGAAAAACCTAAGAGTATTATCATGCACAGATCTGATACAAGGTAAGAAAAACAGGAATAAACAATCAAAGCAACAAAGACAAATTAAATTAAAATAAAATAAAATAATAAGAACAATGCACACACTGTTTCCCCCAGGTTGAATACATCTGTCCAATATTCAAATGACTAAACTGACCTCTTAAGTTATTGACATTGACAGCCAAGCAGGCCCCTCGTTAGCATATATTGATCTAGTTTGTCCAACAGAGAATATGCTACTCTCTCATATGCAGCTATTTGAGTCATAGTTGTAGCCTTCATAAGGAGGTGGGTGTTTCCTCCTCAGGTGTCTCAGGAGTATCTGTATAGCTGTTGTAAAAGCCAAAATAATCCAGTGTTATTCAAAAGGGGACACGTCACAGTCTTTAAACTCTGTGGTCGAGTCCAGATTAGCCAGCAGAGACCTTCTTCTCTTTTTTGAACAGTCCACCCTATTTCAGAGGAACATATTGTGCTTTTACTGCTGGAGGTTTGGTTACTTGTTACCCTGCAGATTAAAAATAAAGACATACTGTATTGAATGTATATAAAATGTTATCAAACCTGACCTCACCTTAACCCAGTTAAACGTTAATCATGAATGCGTATGAATAATGTAGTGATATTAAATAAGATCATTAATCATTCATTATTCTGTTTAAAGAGTCTGTGCATTATTTAATGTTGCAGGAGTATAAGAGTTATAGTTTTTGTATTTAAAGTAATGTTTCAGATGCAGTCCTTACTTTAAACTGAGTGATTTTACATTGCGGTGTTGTCAGTTTTCTATAAATAAAAGGATGTGAATACTTCTTCCTCCACTGTCCATCAGACTGAGCCAAGTTTCTGAGATTACTGTGATTTTCCACATGTATCTTAATACCTGTTTTTAGTTCCCAAACTCTGATCCTTCTTCTTGTTTTTCTCCTCCGTCCTCACCTTTTTTTTACGTGAATCAGAATGAGTGTTTTCAACCATCTGGCACCTTTGACCACTAAAGTATCTGCACCCTCAGAACAAGCGAAGGAGCACCCGTCGTTGTGTTTGTCCCCTCCTCTCTCCCTCTCGTCACCGGTCATCAGAAAGAAACCCATTCAGATCCCATCATTTGACGGAAAGGGAGTTGTCTTTGAAAGGCACATCGCCAAACCGATACAATCAGAAAGGTAAATTAAGTGTTGGCTTCTGCTCTAGTTCATTTTTATGTAATAACGTAAATATATTGCTGAATTTGTTTTTTTTTCTTCCAGGTCCTTTCTCCCAATTTCTAAGACATCCAGTCCACCCTCCTGGAGTAAATCATGTCATTATTCGCAGAGAAACCACACAGAAAGAGCTTCAACTCTCCCAAGAGCCAAACCTAAAATTGTTCACCCTCCAACTCTCTCTGCAAAGCCCTGCATCCCCGTTTCTCATGCTTCAAAGCCAAATTCCTCTCCCACTCTGAAGCCAAAGCCAAGAGATTCTCTTCATCCCCACGACTCACAGCTGTGCGATCCTTCTCCATTTCTGCACCAGCCTCCGCCTAAGCCAAGTGTATCTCCGACTCTGACTGTCCCGACACCCAGACTGAGTCCATCTCCAACATCCCTGTGCGCAGGGGGGAGTTCAGACAGCCGAGGAGGCAAACAACCTTCTCCCGTTGCCCAAGAAAGACGAGCAAGATCAATCCCAATATCTAATCCTAAAGTCGAGCTGGAGTCCAGCAGACAGAGGTCTTTAAAAGAGGCGAAACATGATGTTCTTGACCAAGCAGCTTTACTGGAATTTACTCATCCGGTATTGAGAAGAGATTCTTTCATGACGGGCAGGGACTCACTAAGGCAGACAGGCACGTTTCAGAATTCCTGCTTCCTGCAAGGAAGCGTTTGTTTGAATAAAAAAGAACAAAATGCAAAAGATAAATTAAAGCTTTCATACAGGACTACAGACCTCACACCGAAATCAGACATCAAGCAGCAGGAGCTTCTGCAAACTGGAGCGACAGGTCCACAAACATCTCTTTCAGAATATAAGGTTGCTAATGTTGTTCAGAGGGAATCACAGTCAGTGTTTGAAGGACTGGATTCTCCGACAGGCCTCAACACTCACAGGAAACATACAGACTCTCCTCTCATTCACACCGCAGGATTCACCTCCACTGAGCAATCAAGTGAGCGAAGATTTTCAGGAAGACAAGTGACTCCCCAAAGGTCATTCTCCACAGAGCCTCTCTTAAATCAGACAGCTGTCTCACCCAATATTGAGATCCGGAGAAGACTATTTGGCAGACAGAATGAATCAAAAGTGGATACAGCGTTTTTATCAATCCCTAGTCAAAAGAGACCTCATGAGGAAAACACCACACAGAGAACTAAAGGGAATTCACATAATGTTTCAAAACAAACTGTGCCACAAAAGTCGCCTCAGAAACTGAGATTCTGGTTGAGTCAGAGCTCACAGATTGATGCGAAGCGTGCAGTAACCCAGTCCGGCTGTGAGTCAAAGGATTACCAGTCAAAAGCAATCGATCAGAAACCGGAGGCTCCTCAAAGTGCGCACAGATTAAATCGACTAAAGACGTGTCTGGTGGCTCCTCAGTCTCAGGAGGCCTCCAGACCTGCTTACGCTGAGTGCACCACATCAAAACATGTTTTATCACATAAACATCAGCTCGATCACAAACAGTTTAAAAGCCAATGTGAGATGAGTTTCAGTGACACAGGGCTGAATCAACGTGATATTTTTGCACCATCACACCATCATAGGGTGCCTGAGAATCTACCAGAATGTCCCTCAGCGACATGTGATGTGAGCCAGCCACCCTCTGTAGCACAATGCCCGTTCAACACAAACAGTTTTGGCATCAGTTCAGAGGGAATGTTTGACTACAAAGAGTGCCAGAGACCCAACGAAAAAAAAGCAACAACAGCTTCTCTTCCACTACAGCGACCGAATAACCCTCCAGCAGGCAGAGCATTTATCATGGAGGAAGCAGAAGACCCTTATTACGTCACCATGTATTACCCGGGTTCGGTTTATGTGGGTGAGTACAGAGATATCCCAGCCACTTAGAAGTCTTTCTCTTGACAAATCTCCCAAAGCACACATCCTGAGACTTCTTTCATGTTTTTTTTTTTGTCTATTAGGGTGAAATTGTTTTCTTTTTAAGGGGGCGGGATCTCAAAGGAGGGGGTGGTCAAAGAGGATAGCAGAGGGATTTAAGGGACTACTTCTTATCAGCAGAGTAACAGACCTGCTGAAGAGACACATGACAGCGCTGGTTTAGCAGACTATCGGAAGTGAGTCCTCAGAGACAAACAAACACAGCAACAACAACAACAACATGCAGGAAGAAAGTGGGAGGAAGGATGAAAGCAGAGCAACGCTGAGATAAAGTGTGAGTAACACAGCTGAGGTTTACTTCCTGTGAAACGGGAAATTTGACACCTGCTTGTACCGGGTAGTTAATGTTGGGAAAGGTTAAGTTGTAAAATAAAAAGTAGAAACACATTTTTTAATTTTTAAAGTTTTTAAGGTTTCTACATTTTGCTAAAATAATTATAGTTGTATCATACGGCAATAACACCTTTGCCGAATATGCTGATGACTGATGTGTGTTCACACCAAAGTTGGCTCCGTTGGAGAACTACACAGTATTTTTTATTTGTTTTATATCAAACAAACACAACTCTATCGGTCCACTTAGCAGCTTTTTC